GAAGAAAGGCGAGAGAAAGAGAGACTCACGAGTGGTTCTGTTGCTGGATGAAATTGAATTCCTCTTTGATCCTCTCGCAAGTGTCAGCCACCGTGAATTTCAGCCCTCCCGCAGCCCCGCCGCTTCCTCCGCCACCCTGGAACAAAAAAAAATATATATATACATATATATATGTATTTATAGTGAGCGGATGGGGAGAAGGGAGATTGGATTAGCATACAGGACAAAGCAGCCGCGATAAAGAACGAGAAATAGATCGGATGAACGAGACGCGATCAAGATTTCGTAGAGGGGCTGTGAAACTTTTGCGGGCTAATGTAATTTTTGAGGTGGGTGTTTATTGTGTGAAACACGATTGGAGAATGATTTTAAGGAGAAATTTGAGGAGGAGATACTTTTGGGTAATGTGATGTTGAGGAGTGTTCGGTTAAGTAGATTGAAGGGATCCCGTGTGGTATTAATTTTGAAGTTATGTTCCGCTGCTTGGACAGCATTAAACGTATTTTTATTGATAGTTTTATGTATCAGTGAACTATGTGATAAAATAATTAATGATACCAATGACGCAATGATTACGATATACACAACGTCAACACACTTTAGCTATTATAATGAAGTAAGCTGTTGTCGCTAAAAAAAGTAAATGCTGGTGTTTCTCACGGTATCTCTAGATCATTTAGACACATCTTTGTTACTTATTCCATTATTAAAGTGAAACAATGAAACGATTAATATTACGAGAAATACATTTTCACAAAATTACAACGGTACTTTTGTTACAAAATCCTTCAATTTTCATTAAATGTACACTTTCTACGTAATTGCTATCGTAAATAGTTCAATATTGTAGATGATTAGGTAAAACAGGTAAAAATACCTTCTCCAAATCGCATAAACGCGAAACAATCTCGCTTCCGTACAAAGCGTAACTTCTTTCGAGAAAGCACTTAACACATTCTTGACTGGTAATTTTACGCAGAAGCTACCCCCATGTCACCGGTTATTATTCAGTAATTACATACGAAAGTGAGACAATTTAAATAAGCTTCAATATACTTTATTGATGCATAATGAATTGAAATGGAACTTTAAACATATCTTTCATATAACTTTAAATATTTTACTTTTGCAATATCCTATATTTTCCTGCCTTTTAAATATTGAAATGGCTAAAAGACGAGTTAACTCGTGACCGGTTAACAATGTGTCAATACTTAGCCAAGCTAATGACGAGATCTCCCACTTTTCCCTTAGCAATGCATTGCCGTTTATTTTGTTTATTGTTTCTTTCATTGTTTAGTAAGTCTTAAATTTGGGTTATTCCTAATTCGTCAAACACCTTTGTCGCTTTTATAAAACAAAATTTTTAATGAAATCACTTAAATGAGTTCAATTCTGGTTAATGAGGAAGGTTATAGACATAATTCCTTTTAAGCAGTTGCCCAAGTGTTAACACCGCCATCAAGCTCTTCGAATTCTCAAACATTCACGAAACCCGACCTCATCCCCAACTTCGAAGCCATGCAGTCTTCAATTCCAATTACGTGCCCCAAAGTGCTAAAGAAGTCGCCAGGTCGATTACTCCAAAGTATAGTCTACACCCCACAGCTTCCGAGCGAAATAAAAATCTCGGGGTATCCGATGACTGAGAGAGCAACTACAGCAACTTACAACTGCGAGTAACCAGCAGCATCTACCTTTCTTTATTCTTTTTCCCAAGATTATGCAACCAGAACGATAACGTCGATGCCCGGACGTCGGTAGATAGACAATGTTGCGGACAAAATACGGCGGAAAAAACTCATTAAAGGGCGCAGAAAAACGAGAAAAATCTCGTTACACGGGAAACCAGCCACACATTCGTTCGCCCGTTCGCGTCTTGCGTTATGCTGCGTTTACAGCAACCGAACAAACGTTCTTTTGGCCTACATCAAAGGTGTCTAAATTACTCCCCTCACGGTAATAACTTGGAAACAGCGTCCCCCACTATCTCTACTTTAAGAGTTGTCCGAGAATGTGTGTGTAAGCAGTTCTATGTAGTGTTCAATACAAATAGGTAAAGGTAGATGAGGAGAGGGTAACTTTTCGCGAGGAGAATGTCAGTAGAGTGCTCACGGGCACCGATTTAGACCCTTCGCCTACACTCTTGACAAATTCATGCTCGTTTGCCGTGAACGACAACTAAACTACGCTCGCAGTGATCGCAAAGAAATGTTCATGTAGATTGTAGTTTAACTCTTCGAGAATAAGTGTCGTACTATTGGCTGTATCAAATTTGTATGTTTAGAAGTGAAAGTTGCAATAAATAAATGTAATTACGTGGACAATACAACATCAGTTCTCTTACTTTTTAACATTTAAAAGTTTCATATCCAATGTAGGTTTCTATAGAAAAGCTTCCCAAAGCTTCTAGAAACTTTTATTCAAGAAAGGTTAAAAGGATCACAAGCAAATTATTCCATCCTGCTTTAACGTTCGCTTACAAAATCGAGCTAGTATTCGAATGCGTTTGGTGAAAAATTGGTTTCCAAACTCTAACATTAGGTGTATACAGTGGGGCCCCGGACTTAGATCCTAATTGGTTCTGGGGTGGGCGACGTAAGTCGGAGTACACAGGATAGACATACATGCATCTATGTGAACATACATATTTGTACATGTATTTATCAGATAATGAGGTACATACATAATGAGATTACATTTAACGAATGTTTACGAAGAACCGAAGAGATCATGATGTTCATAAATAATACTGCAACGTACTGGATGGCCTTCTTTTATTGCCATTAAAATACGTTCTTTATTTTTAAGAAACGTCCTCACAGTTGCTTTCAGTAAATTGATTTTTTAGTTAATCTCAAAACCTTGCATTCTACTAGTATTTCTTTTTTTTCATATGTACTGGTGTTTACTGTAAATATATTTCTATAAGTTCTAAAACTGTGTATAAATTATATAATCTGAAATTATTCACCTATAAAAACATTATAAAATGAATCTCTTGTACGACGAATTCTTTACTCAAGTAATTTTCAGACTGACTCGGTTAAAACTAAACACATACAGTGAGAAAATTAGTTAAAAACAATTGACTATCGCAGGATATAGAGACGACGTAACTGCGAAACAACGTAAATCTGGAGCACGTAATTGTAGCCTCACTGTACTCGTTTACACAACAGGATTCCCTATAACACGAGAATTCCTCGTTATAAGTATTTCACCTTCTTAAGAATTTCGCGTCAAGTTCCAACAACATCGCCGTTCACATACAGGCCCAACTTGCCCACTTTTCTCACAAAAAATCCCTTCGTTCACAGTGATTTCCAATCTCCAAACTAATTATAAACAACCCGTACAGTTATCCTTAAACAATCTCTTAATCGCGTTACACGGGGCCCTACCGTGCACCAGCGCTGCCGCAGTGGGGGGTAAACGAGCACTCGTTCGGCCGGCGTAAACACACCATTACGCGACGGACCTCGGCCGCGAATAAATCCCAAGAAATCCGAATTTAAAGGGGAGACCGCGGGGCCGCGGTCTCGCTCTTTCGCCGCGGGTTCGGGAACGCGGCTGTGAAACCGTAACGAGGTTAAAGTCGAAGATGACAAGCAACCGGCATCAAATGGCCTTCGGCCGCGCGAGGTACACGCAAACACACGACACGGAGGAACGAATGAAGGAGGGAAGGAAAGCGGGTGGGCGAGCGAGCTGGCAGGCGGGCAGGGAGGAACGGTGAAGGCGGAGAAGAGAAACGCGAGCGGAGGGCATCCAGGTATAAAAGACGAGCGTCTCCTTGCGGAGAGGGAGGAGGAGCAGCAAGGCCTGAAGAGGCAAGGATGAAGGGCCATGAAGGCGTTCTTAATGAGACCCATTCCACCAGGTAGCACGAGGTTTCTGAATCTACGAGTTCTTCAGCGCCGGCGGTTATATATATACACCTACACGAGCGTGCACGCGTGCGCGCGCGAGCGCAGCCGCTCCACCGCTTCAAATTACGGAGGAAAGGATCGGAGGCTTTCCGATGACAGTAATGATAACGTTACACACCGCGTCGTCCGCGGTCATGTCAATCGAATTTCGTGAGAGCACTCGAAACGTGCTCGCGGGGAATCTTAAGAGCAGCAAACCGATCTTTCATCCCCCTCCAACCCTCCGCCAGCCAGCCTTTCCGCGAGCCGCGTGTGTTTCTTTTTGAACAGACTCTTTTTCACCGTACGGGTAAATTATTTTAGTCTCTCCTTACTTTTTGTATGTTTAATGCACGATTGTGTCAGATTCCCGAGGACGTAAGTATCGGGTTCGTTCGGGAATTAATTGCGGTGTTTCTCGGCCGTATTCGCGAAGTCGGGACGGTATACAGTTAATGATAGGGTGCCCTGTTAATTGTGGGACTGCTCTTGGAACGCGCGGCGCTCGCGGGTAAAAATAATTCGAAAACGGGAAATGATTTAATGATTTCAAAATTTTACTGCTGGCTGTTACTGGCTGTAGTCTGGATGGGGAGACGACGCGCGAGTAAATCGATTTATCGTGATTTCATTAGTTTGGGTTCGTGCAATTGAAGAATGCGATGAAGTAGGGGTGGAATAGTAATATAGTGAATTGATTTATTATTAAACTTGTGTTACAATTATATTTTTATAGTTAACGTCGCTGATGGAACGCAGAAAAATATTTTAATTAAAATCCGAAAAGTAATTTGTCAGTTGATTGAAGTTTTATCATGGTATCTATTGAAATTCTTGTTTTTATGAAACAAAAATATGTCCGGGTTTATTCGTATATAAAAGAATAAGGAGAAATAATAAAATAGACTTGAAAAATGGGGAACAATATTTAGTATTTTTATCTGTAATTTTTAATATTTTGTATAGCTATACCACACTATTTTATTCTTCTCTTGTGCATTGAATTAATTTAACGCTCAAAACACATTCATAATAATGATGATGATAATAAATGTCACCCGCTCAAGGATATTAGCTTAAATTTGGAAGTTAGATAGACCTCTGGTACATCCGGATCGAAATAAACCCAAGCGTCGCTGTCTAAACATGAAGTATTATAGAACGAGAATGCATGAAGGCAGAAATTTAGATGTGAATGTTTTATTAGTCTGGCACTCTTCGAATA